GTGTGCAACTGTTACAATCGATCTAGAATATTCTAGAAGGTTCTAAAAATTTCTGGAATGATCTAGGAAGTTCCAATTTGTGTGCAACTGTTAAAATCGATATGGAATGTTCCACAAAGTTCTAGAAATATCTGGAAAGTTCCAAATGTCCGCAATTAATTATCAAGGATTTTTAGAATTTTCTAGATTTTGTCCAAATATTCTAGAACAATCTACTATTAATAAGAAATTTATTAAGGTACAGGGTGGTCTGTCATTATCGGGAATAATTTTGTGTTGTGCAAAATTCTAGAACGATCGAAAACATTAAAAAATAAAGGACAATCTGTCATTATTAAGAATAATCTTGAATATTCTGGTACTAGAAATTTAGAATATATAAACCGAAATTCAGTGACTTTTCGTCAGTTTGATCGTGTTTGCAGTCGAGTGGAGATCAATTGAAATTGACAGTGAACACTAATTAAACAAATCAAAGACTGCGAACCCCCAGGGGTTCGCGAACCACCGGTTGGGAATCACTGTTCTAGAGTGATGTAGTACTAGAAATTTGGATGTATTATGGTATATATAAGAAAGTTAACAAATCGGTTCGACTGAATTTAGCCTATCACGTGCCCCTATTTTGAATAATAGCGGAACGTGATTGGCTCTGTTAAGTCCTAAGTTTTTCTCGTTTTTTGTACATGAAATATTTTTAATTTAAATTCATATTTGCAATTTTAAATAGTGTCTAAGTTAGTGAAGCCGGACCAGTTTACATTTTACCTGGGTATTCGTAGAACCCTTATAAACTGGAAAGAAATGTTGTATGACGATTGTGCTCATATTTAATGATAGGGCTTTCCATATTCTGTATTATATTATATTCAATTTCTAGTTATTCGACCCCGCTACAATAATATTCACCAGTTTACCTGTTCATAGTTAGAGTTCATAGTACATTAAGAATTAGACATTCACATTTCATCTTTCAATCAAGTAAGTTTTACATCCAGTAACCACCCAAAAATAGTTTCCATTGTCGGACGAATTTGATAGTTATAATTTAGACGTTGAAGTTTAGTTTTTAGTGATTAGAATAGAAGTTCTAGTAAATGTTTTAAATAAAACAGCGAATTTTTATTCTCCATCGAAATCACGATCCAATTTAACGAGTTGCACAATATTAATTTGGCGTGCAACGTACAACGTTTGTACAGGCTCTAATCAGTTTAACCAAATTGTTAACGTTAATCAGCGCCGTAAGATAGAAATCTATATAATCTACGTTAAAAAGTGGATCCTTAAATATTTTATATACCATTAAACATGCGATGTATTTTAACCAGAGCAACGCCGGGTTTCCCTGCTAGTTTATTATAAGATGTTGTTTGTAATTATCTGTTATAAATTAAACTGAGTAAATATTTTCAAGAATTAAAATTATTAAATCACCCTGTATATAAAAGCTACGAGTTTAAATCCATTTAACTGTATGTTGATGGAGAGCTTGTCATGTTCCATGACGATTAATTAACAAAGCAGTTAATTTCCTACAAAATCGTTCTTTAACAGTAACCCACTTTGCAATTTTATGACTTCCGAAGTGATAGTTTCCATGTAGCTCCAATTATCCTACAAATTTATCGCCATATTTTTAATTGCGGAGCAAAATGAAGCAGCGCGCCGGAAACTTAAGCTTACCAACATATGCTATTTCCGTCCAATCGTAAATATATTTAATTCCGGACATGAATCGAGTGCCTAGCACCGACCATTTCTAAAACAAAACGTTGAGTACTTGTACATATTCGTACTTAACGTAATTTTATCTCTACAACACAATTCAAATGTGTGCAGATCACGCAATTTTATCAAGTATTGCGGTGTTTTAGAAAGTAAGGGGCGATAAAAACAAGTAACAAGACTTTACTTTGCGCCTATTGGGAACAACAACTGTTTCTGATACGACAGTAAGTGTATTGAAACTGTAACAATACGTTATCATGGATGTGACAAATGTGTATAAAGACGGAAGAAAGGATCATTTTTCCACAGATACAGGCACTAACAATAGATTACACACATATTCAGTAGATCAATTTAGTAGAATCGCAGCAGGCTTACATCTAAAGGGTACAGCACATTTTAAATAGTTAGAGATATGCCCCTTCCCTTTATCTGGATGCGTCGTAGCATCATTCTAAATTCAATCATATTTAAAAGCATATTTAGCTAAATATAATAACAAGTGAATTAACACTATACACACCTATAAAACTTTTGCTTTGTTTTTCACGTGCACGCACGAAAAAACATGACTCATGCGGCGTTACCTCGCTCTGAGGCGTTCCATTTAAGGCTTGAAGTGCAAGCGAGAGCGCGAAACGAGCGACAAAGAGGCACAATCGGCCTCCGCGTTCGGCAGCGTTCGACATCTGTCNGTACAGTACCATTTGCAAAATTATTTAAACTGCCTCGTTGAAATTTAAGAATATGCTTTATATTAAAGCATTTTTAGCCAACAATAATAACAAGTGAATTAACTTAACCTTCTACACACCTATAAAACTTTTGCTTTGTTTTCTATTGTTAATTTATATACATTTTTGTTTTAACAAATTGCTAAACATTTTCATTTAGTACTGTACAATTCTAGCAGATCTCCTGTGACCGCCCATCGAAAGCTCTGCTAGTTCAAGCTTGTTCCGACTATTTCTGTCTTGCTCACGCCTAGTGTGTATTCTTTCAATCTTCGCACAGATTTCTTCAAGGTCACATCTCTAACTATTTGAAACAAACTGTAAATGGTTGTTCAGCGATAGGTGTATCACATTCACATTAAATTTAAAATGCTCTTAATATTAAAGTTTAGCTGAAAAATGTTACGTTAACGGCTAAACCCGATTTTAAGACAAACTAGTTTTCCTAGGCCAAACCAGTTCATCCTTTACGCGATAGGATAAACCGGTACAAACTAAGCTAAACTGGTTCGTCCTATGGCCGATAGGAGAAACTAGTTTAACCTAGGCTAAACTAGTTGAGCCTAATATGAACAAGTACACTTCAGGATAAACTGGTTTGACCTAGTTTATAAATAGGGAATAGTAAAACACCAGAACTAATAAAATCATGATGCATTTATTAAATCAAAAACTGTATAGTGTTTTTAAAATATTTCTTTACTAATATTTATAATTTCAAAACAAGTAACAACTAATTCAAAGCAGAATGAGCGTTTAAAATCAACAAGCGGGGCAAGTGAAGACGGCGGGAGACGTGTGGGGAAATTCCCGCATGAACAGGTCTCGACACGTTTTGCTTAAACATTTTTGGCTGGGCAGAATTAGTATAGACTAGGCCAAACCAATTTACCCTAAAGTGTACTGGTTAGTTCAACTAGTTCAGTCTAGGTTAAACTGGTTTCTCCTATAGGCCATATGACGAACCAGTTTAACCTAGTCTGTACCGGTTTATCTTATCGCCTAAAGGATTAAAGGATGAATTAATTTGGCCTAGGAAAAACTAGTTAAATCGGGTTTAGTATTAGTTTAATATACAACGATTTTATATATATATGATCAATAAAGCTGATTTCAATTCATATACGTGGCAAATCAATTTCCATTACTTTTGTTCAAAGTCAAGTTAGGGGTAAATACATATATTCCATTATCGCAAATAGCTATGTTATGCGTTTATTGTACAATGCTTCTTAAGGGCAGGAAATAACCTAGTAAGACTTTTAAATTAAGATTATCTGTGTATCCCTATGAGACTACATTAATAATATTCCGTAAGGGTGTTTCTCAAATTAGTGACAAGCTTGCAGGAAGTGTTAGGGTACTATAAAACAAGTAAATTATGTAAATGTTTGCATGTCCGAAACTTCACACAAACATACAAATGTAATTCCTACCCTGGAAAAACATGCGATAATGCAACGCTGTATTTAATCAGCTGGTAATAGCAGTATTTGTGTTCTATTTCTTTTGTATTTTTATACTCATGCACTGTTATTTATTAAATCAGTATAAGTGTGGTTGACAATGTTTGTTACAACCAGCGTATAGTATTGTATATATGTAGTTATCGAATTGACAGTAGATCAGTGTGTCACTGTCTTAGGTCAGTATAGAACTGTAGTTGTTACAATGGCGTTTAATAAGCCACAACTCTGTACAATTAATACAATTGCAATTACCTATCCAGAGGATAATGTTTAGATAACGTAAATTTTATCTTTCTTTTGTGTTCTTAATAGCGTGTTGAGGTGTACTAATTTAAATACTGCTGCATAATATCAGCGATGAACAAAGTTATTATTTAATTAATTTTTATCGTAATACGTGCCTAAACATAATTATGTGTAGGAGCGTGGTAGTAAACTGTTGGTGTTTACGTTATCAGTCATTCCACAACCGGCACTGCTTACATTCTCCATAAATGTAGCTGCTTAGTATCGCAACTCGGAGTAGGTACTAATACCTCAGCTTCGGATTGTAATTTCTTTTGGTTTTATTATAATTTTTTCCCTTTATTTACGCTGCTTTACTCACCATGCGATTCGATATTGGATCTAGTTAACACCCTCCACAGCTTACCGCTTATTCTATTAACACCCAGGATATATTGAACCTTTGCCTTCTGTTAAAATGTTTTGCGTTCAACTTTGCCGTTTCTTTTGTTACGCCGCGCTGTACCACGAATTTTCCTGGCGAGTGTGGGTACATATTATTTTTATTTAAGTAATTGTTATGTAGTTATGTTTAATAAAATAATGGTATTTCTCATTACCTCCTTTAGTGGTTACTTTAATTAGAAATAAGTAGTTTGTGTAAAGCGGGTAAACGGTTAACTAGCGTTAACGACTTTTAACATTTAAAGAAGCAATTTTTTAATATTATCTTGTTTAGTACTTTATAATTTTTTTATTGGTAGATAGTTATGATAAAGTACTTACAATTAGTAGTACTTAGTTAATCTGTTATTGTTTTGTTTTATTTCTTTTCATTTACCTTATAAGTGCAAAATATTTCTTTTTCAATGATTGGCGCGGAATTCCTAGGTGCCATCATTTTGTAGTAGTACTCTTTTTTTTACGAAAGTTTAATGTAACCTTCCATTTTTGATTACGAAGTATGATATAAAATGCGGATTTGATTGACAATTTTTTTTTCTTTATTACGAAGACACTTTCGGAAGAGTTCGGCGTTTTCTTTTAATTTCTGCTGTTTGATTTATCGTAACAAAATAGCGGCGATCAAAAGGAGTTTAAAGTTATGTAAAATATGCTCGTTCTCCTTTCATTCAATTGTTGATCCAACCACGCAAACGGTCCACCTATAACAAAAGTATGACAATAAAGTGTAAGATATTTCACCTCGTTCCATTTTGTTTAATTTTAAGTGTCAGTAAATGTTCGATTCATACTATATAATGAGCGCAATTTTATAACCTATATTTTTATGCTGTCGTACGTACACAGGGATAAGATGCATATTATCAACTAAGTGGCTATAGGAAGGAAAATTATGTGATGAGAATGGGGTTAGGTCAGAATTATGTAAGTATGATTGAGGATGGGAGACTGACGCTATTTAATATGATGACGGGGGGTGGAAATAAGGGGATGGGAGGAAAAAACAGGTAGGGGTTTCATACATATAAAAGATATATCAAGCGGGTATTGAAATTAGAGAGAAGTACACCAGACTATATAATAAGAAGGGAGACTAAATGTGGAAGGATGTAGGAAGAAACGATAAAAAGGATAGCAAAAGATTAGATGTTGGAAAGGCTGGAAGAAGGGTATATTAGGAAGGAAATATTTAAAATAGGGATGAAGAGTAGATGTGATACAGAGAGCGAGAGAGCTTTGAAGAGATTAAAATTCAATCAGGAGTAAGTGAGGGAGTGGTTGGGGGAAAGGATAAATATAAGGGAATTGATAAGGAACAGATGCAGGGATATGCTAAGGGGAGAAGATTTAAGAAAAATAGAGGAGTCAAGATATATGGTGCTGTTAAATGAGATTTTATGGAAGGATTGGCAAAGGGATTGGATACCAAGGTACTCAAAAAAGAGGGAGGAACTTTATAGCAAAATTTAAGACATGAAATGAGTGTAGGAGATGTAACCATCGGAAAAAAGGAAGAGGACAGGCGATGCAGAATATGTGACAGGAATGTTGAATGTCTGAATCATGTGTTAGAAGGATGTGAGAACAGTAGGATGTTATGAATTGATAAATAAGTATAGGAGTAGGCTGAGTCGACTAAAAAAAAATTTTAAAGAATGGGGTGTTTTTGTTTTTAATAGAGTGAAAAAAGTGCGACAAAGAAAGGTACTGGGGGACTTTAAATTTTACTAAAAGCTGCATTTTTACGTTGCTGGATATTCAAGGCTAAAAAATACGTTAAATATCCTTAGGGGCAATTGTAATATTGGGTGTCATTATTTGCAAAATCGTATTACCAACGAAATTAATAAACGGCGAGAAGGGCTGTAAGTCCCCATTTGAGGAGATTTATTTAAAAATAACCTAATTAAACATTAACCCATAAATACAATTTGAAAAACATCTTTTATACATATTGTTTGAACAAAGAATACACAAAGATAACAGTGCAACGTACCTACTCATTTTTCTGTTCTGATTTAAATATGAACATCGTAAACGTTGATGACGCAAGTGCAGCTTTGTATCGCTCGTGCTCGACACGTTGTCACGTATTTATTAATAATGTGACAAAAGTCCTTGCAGATTCTATCGCTTCTACCGCCTAGGACATTCTGCAACTGCCAAGAATGCAGTCTACAGTCTTTTGAGGAGTTTGATTGTTACGCAGAAACAAATGATTTTATGCAAGACAAACAGCTGAAATGCAGTCAGCTGCATAAGGATAAAAATAGCATGTATAGAATGAAATATGCAAAGCATTCGGAAAATCTTGGTACTAAAATTTACACCATGTTTACACAAGGAAAGCAAATGGAGTTCTGTGGAACTGAATTAAATAAAATCCAAAATTCCATCCAAAACACGTTTGAACATTCAAGGTGTTATCCTTAGCTATAGACAAGGTCAAGTAAGGTTAGAATTTAAAGTAAACTCACCTACCTAGATCATAAGAAATACAGTCTAACCTGGATAAGTTAGAAACCTCTATTAATGAGAGTATTTGCCAGGTCTCGTCATTTTGCCCTTCTAAAGCCTCTATAAGTGAGAAACATAAAACCTGTATAAGTGACAGTCATTTTTCATGCGCGAACCCCGTTAAGTGAGATTGCTACTTGTCTATACCTCTATAAGCGACAGTTTACTTTTGCTATTTTATGACTCGTTCTTAAATTTCAAGAGACTCTTATTTCATTCGAATGACCGAGTAAGTCAATTATTTTATTATAGCCAAATGTGCGTACCGACTTGTTTATCAATCTTATTACAGTCAGTTCATTAAAGCAGTTGCGAAGAAAGGTCCTGTACTTCCTCATCATGTCTAAACGAAAACTCAATGTGTTGTCGAACTATATTTTTATGTACCTCTATAAGTGAGACAAATTCCTCTTGTAACTCTGTAAGCTAGAAACTCGGGTTAGTGAGAAGCCTCTATAAGAGAGGAACAGATCGCGGTCCCTTGAGCTCTCACTTGTCCAGGTTCGACTGTACTTTAAAAATTAAAGAATTGACACATGGGCAATTTAATGCTCATTGAATGCTAATTGAGTATCCCAATGAGAAATTAAATACTACGGGAATCTATTCAAATCGAAAAAAGTTACTCATGTTCCAAATTTTAAAAATTTTAATAAATGCTTCTTTCTTAACGTCTACCGCGAGTATAAATTAACATGTTTTTGTTAATGACCGGGTTTTGTAAAGCAGACAACCTAGTGGATTTTAGTCAATTTTTATTTGACGTTTCGGCTCCTTGGTTTTGGGCCATCTTCAGAACTTTAGTATGTTCTAATTACATTGTTTTTTCTTTCTTTGACACAGTGTGTTTTTGCAAAAGTATGAAATTGTCATCGAAGAGACTGTCAGACATTGAAAGAAAGTTAAAACTGCAGTGTGCAACACTGAGTCTCTTTACATTTCAGTGTTGCTTTTAATTATTAATGTGCAATTTTAACTTTCTTTCAAAGTCTGACACTCTCTTCAATGACAATTTTATACTTTGGCAAAAACACACTGTGTCAAAGAAAGAAAAAACAATGTAATTAGAACATACAAAAGTTCTGAAGATGGACCAAAACCAAGGAACTGTTAGTGCTGGGGTTTCTAAAAAATACTTCTTTACCAATACTAATTCGAAAACAAATAACAAACAAATTATACTAAATTAACTACTGAATATGAATAAAATATTGTTCTGATTTGGTTAACTTACTGAAAGGTTCTGTATTGTTCAAGTTACTGATAAGTTCTGTCTAAATTTATTGTAAAAGAGAATACTGATGCTTGATGGACGTGTTCAAAAAGTTAAGGTTCAATAATTTTGGAATGTAACTTTGGGAGGAACAAGCCACCTATTCTAAGAATATGACTACGTGTACTTTCCAGGGTAGTGGACCTGTACGTACACGTTTTCAGACCGTTTTCTAGATAAGTGAATGATTGGATTTTCCCATCGTTAGTTCGAAGCACAACCCGATAACAATTATAATTACAAATACATTCCAAAGCATAAAATCTACCAAAAATCATTAAATATTCCAAACAACCTATCTTACAAATTTTCTGTTTCTGTACCTGGCTTTAATAGGAACCGAAACGTCAAATAAAAATTGACTAAAATCCATTAGGTTGTCAGCTTTAAAAAAATTTTAATAAATCAATAGATTTTCCATGCAACATCTACATAAAAAGAAAAAAATTTCTTACGCCATACAGATGGTCTTTGAAATCCTGACTCCGCTTGACACTATTTCCGGAGAAACAGTGTACAATCTTCGACAACTACTATCTAATTGCAAGTAAGTATCTATTAAGTATTTTTTAATCTCACCAAACTTCACGTGTCAGTTTCATTATAAATGATTTAAAATTTATTAAACGATTCTGAAACAGGACAATTTCACGAATGAATGTTCTTTACAAGCATGTTCAACATCTTCCACGTTGTTTCAAAAATAACCTGAATGGTTTTCATCTGGATACTTTTATTTTCAAAACGCGCGGCGACTGCACAAGGAAATGTGTTTATGAAATGCTTCCTCTAGCAGTTTTACGTGTCATTGATAGAGTACAATCGAACGTTGACACCAATCGCCTTCTTTGGAAACCGCAGTACATCGCAAAGAAATAAACAGACAATTATTCGAGTTGCCGATACAAGTGTTCCTTAATAAAAGCCATTCTAACGATTTGATTTAATAAAAACTGTCTATGCACTAATGAATATCCTTAACGAGGTTTAGATGGCAGGAAATTAATAAATGAAAATGCTGAGTTAATCGCTATAATTTATTGAATTAATTAAAGGCGATTCAATACAATTGATTAAGATGGGAAACTTTTAAATTTGATGTATAGAATTAGAGGTTCCCGATGCCTCGCCACGAGTTTCAATGATTTTACTTTTACTCAAAACATTCCAGGACTCGTGATCACATAGGCAATGCAACTACGAACATTTTCAATGTTTTGGAGTTTTCTACACATACGTATAAACGCGCAAGTACCTTTCATGTGATACCACTAACGATCATACGAGGTGTGTAAACGTATCATTCAATACGGCAGTAAGGGATACCAGAACTTGGAGGGGCGATATGTAGACATGTATACTTCGTTTATTTTCTGTAGCGATGTGACCTTCAGTTTGACCGGTGCAAAGTAGAAAAGAACAGCACTAAGCCAGAAAAGGAAGGAGACAACTCTCGGCTAAACTCTTAACCGGTGAGGAGCGTATAATCCGTACAGTACTGCACGGAAAAATTGACCATTTAATCCACTACAATTGCATTGCTCAAATGTGCTGTTATTGGTACCATTTACTACTGAAAATATCAACGAGATGTTTATTTATATTTGAAGACATATTAAAG